GGGGTAAATATTGAATGTTATAGTTACACCGGAAAAGAAGGTTGCTGCCAACATTGGAAAGTAAGGATAGTGGGATAAATTTCCATGGTCTTTTATTGTTAGCTCATAAGCGCTTTACCCAGACTATCTTTAACGCTTTATCAAATAACGTAAAATCCAACATATTAAGTCCTCCTCCCTTCCTTATTTTTGATTATAGTCACTTTTTTGAGTTTTGTGTTCTTGTACTTCCATATGTAATCAAATATTATGTTATTTACTTTATTGGTAAACCCTTTTTGGAGTGTCTAACATGCTGCAGATAAAAGTTGGTTTGGATATTGCCAACGTTTTGACTATATTTACTCTTCCATAATTATATGGATATGTCTTGAGACAACCAAATGTTCAGTGTCTTTTTAAGTTTAGGCAACTTTTCAACGAAGTTTCTTTCAGTGGCAAGTTGTTCATCATGTGAAAAATATACACCCAAGGCATAGAGAGGCTTATCACTTAATTTTAGATTTAGAATGGAATCCTTCCTCTGATGCAATGATCCCAGCCAAAGTATTTCTGATTTAGATTGATTTCTTCAGAGACCAGAACAGTTTTTAAATTGTTGCAGCAGATCAAAGAGCCTATGAACAGACCAAATATCTTTAACAAAAACAGTTGTGCCATTGGCGTACTGGGTTATTTGTTATATATTTATTTGGATCAATTTGAATACCGTAAATCCTCAAATTAGCGCCCACCCCCCTCGAATATTTTTATTATCCAACTGTAGTGAATACCGTCCAAATATCATGCAAAACAAGTAGGAACGTACAGCGATATTGTACTGTTATTTGTACAGTAGCAAACCTGTTTGCCAGACAGGCCAGTGTGCATACGCAAAACTGTCACACTCTCCCTCTTTCACTGATAAATGTATTAAGTACAGCAGTTGGATAATAAATCACTTATTAGATGTTTTGGTGTGATATTTTTACTCGTTGTTTGTATTTTGACCTGTCCTATGGGCTGGTCAAAATAGGACACAACTCGTAAAAATATACAGTGATATTACACACCAAAACGTCTAACAAGATACATATATACTTAACTTCTCTATCATATTAATGATCATTTCTGGGTAAATCAAGAGATACTGATATTAATTTTATTACTATTTATAATAAAGTTTCCATATAACCCACGCTCTTTATCAGAGAACAGATGTACGGTAAGCTGAATTTCAAATTTTTGCTCTGGAATTTTGATGAATTTGACCCAGATTGAAGGTTCCCTGATACGCAGACAAATGCAGTGAAAAGGAGCTATTTGTCTGCAGTAAACATAGCTGCACGGAGGCTATTGTGAACAGAAGTGTTAATACTGTACTAGAATAGCAAGTTTTGCTAGATTCCAACAAGATGGTTATTGTGTAGCGAAATACACAAATCCTTAACTTAGTGAATGCTTCTAATCAATAAAAATGTTATATTCGTTACGAAGGCAGAAATTATACTTTAAAAGTAAAACAACGACAGAAAACACTGATTGAGCTGTCTCTGTGTATGATTAGAAAATTTATTTTTGTAGAAATGCTCAAACAACACTTACATGCAGTGCAGTAATGCTTGTTTGCTCTGATCATTTCAGCAAAGTGAAACTCAACAATTACAATGCTCACCCAATGAGTGATCAGTTGAAAGCTTGCTGTGATATCCTCTCCTGTACTCAGAGAGCAGTTTAGTCTTTCCAACTTTGACTCTAGTTCGAGGAATCTTGCTACAAGTCATAAATACCTGTAGCTCCTTTCAAATACATGTCAGAATTTTGCATTTTCATCCGAAAGCTTGAGCTATTTGTTTTGTAATTTCCATTGGAAAAGTACACGTTTTCATGAGCCACAATGTGACCAGATTCCTCTAGACTAGAAACTTTTAGATCCAGAATATGACTATGAAATATGAACTTTTAGACTCAGAATATGACTATGAAATATGAAAAAGTTAAAGGTGGCTTTGACCCCCTGCTGTAGAGTACCTTAAAGCTGTTAGTCAGTGTACTTATATTTTACAATTTAATCTAGTTTTAAAGTAATTCAAATGTTTTAACTGAAAGCAGTGCCCACTCCCTTTTCATGTCACAACTTTTATCAAGGGCCATGGGCCAGGACCAGCAATTTGTCCTGGCTACTACTGTATGAGTAAGAGCCCCCTGCTTTGATAGCTGAAAAAAAGTTACTGTATTGGCAGATATTACCGTTACTGTTATGATACAACTATGTGCCACAATAACTTTTTTTTAAATTTGTAGTTATTGTTATTTCAACAACATTCACAACAAGCTTACAGTTAAGCTCATATGCATTGTACAAGTAAACTTTAACATGTATAGAGGGTTTGGCTGCATCAACAAATCTGGGAAATAACACTTTTCAAAAACAAGCATATAAAGAGTATACCATCTTGCTGTCATGTCCTAACCATCCTTAATGTGTTAACAACTATGAAACCTCTCTTTAAGTAATGAAGGTGTTTTGCAAGCTGGATCATGTAATAAAGAAAAGTGTTATGGCAAATATTATAATATGTACAGACCTTTAAAAATGTGTCCATAAATTTTAAGAAAACCCTGTTCCTGGCAACTGTCCCTGCCTATAAATAACAATGTACATGACCACATGTACTGCAAAAATTATTGACATCCATGTAATGTTATGTTGATCCTCCATGTTTTGTCTTGAGTGCAGTCAATGTAAGGAAAACAGCATTCAACTGAGTGGTGAAGAGTAAATTGTTTGTTCAAAACCTTAAGAACCACCTTGTTAACAATATGAATATGAGCATGAAGTTATTTTACATTATGTAATTTTCCAGGTAATATATTAACCAAATTTGTCAGACATTTCACTGGCAGAACCACCAGAAAACAGTTTTCAACAATCTTATAATGTTATAATAGTATTTTATGTAATGTTTAAAAAACAAGCAGCAGTGTTTTATGGGATTTAAAATATGAGGTGTAGCCGAGTGTCTTTAACCTGTTAAAACACATGTTACGAGTGTTTTGAACAGCTTCAAAATCGTTTGTGGTGGATCCACTCATTTGTAGAATAATCCTTGGGTTTATTATTATTTTTCTGGAGAAAAATGGCTGCAAAATTGAGCCGTGTCTTTATCAAATTTAAAGACACTCATTAAACATTCATATCTTGTGTGTTTCCTTTATGAATTATTAAATGAGTTTTTGAACATTCACTCAACAGCAAGCTAAAGCAGAGCAAGAGGAAGAGTTTATATCCAACACTTTGTTGAAGAAGATTCAGTCACTTAAGAAAGAAAAAGAAACCTTGGCAATGAATTATGAACAAGAGGAAGAATTTCTTACCAATGATTTGTCACGGAAACTAATGCAGGTAGAACACAAAGAGAGTACTAATCACCTCAATCAAACTCAATCTTATTGATTTTTGTGGTAGGCCAATGCAGCTGCAGGGCTTAAACATGCATTGAATTTAATTTTAACTCATTACAACTCACATTGAAATCTTAAGCAGTTTGTGGATTGAACACTGTGTGTACTTGATTTATCTGACTTAACTATAAATAAATTTTCCTCTATAATTTATGAAGTTTCCTTTGCTCTGTGCAAGTTGACATCTAATCTCACACACAAATGGTTGCACCGTGCAAACTGTTAGGTGTAATTATTTAGTCTAGATGTACTGTAATTTGAAACCAACCTTCGCTGTTTTCATGATTATGATCAAGCACACAGTGATGATGTGAAAGAAAGCCAAATAAGCAAATGACTTCCTCCAACAAATCTAAAATAACATGAAGAGTGGTAGCCAGCAAGTAGAATTCCTTGGACTATATAGAAAGAGTAATGACCAGTTGTAACAGTACAAATGCTTTGCATGCTTCTTTCATTAAATCTGACGTATCTTATTGTTTATTTTAATTAGTTACGTCAAGAAAAGATTCAGTTGGAACAAACATTAGAACAAGAGCAAGAATATCAAGTAAACAAACTAATGAGAAAGATTGATAAACTTGAATCAGATGTCACCTCAAAACAGACCACTCTGGAACAGGTAACTGATGAACCTTTTTTGAAAAAGGGTTAAGAGTCACAAAAAAGTGTTTGGAGGTGGTGGCCATCAATGGTTAAATATCCTTGATTTCACCAGAATCATATGGCAAAAGACCTTAGCGATAAATGTATAAAGTTAAACAAGTTACTTGAATCATATTTTCTCTTGACGATGATGTTCTGTTGGAACTGTTAAGTCATCAAGCAAACTAATCATGCAATGTGACTGTGGTTTAGATATTTGATCTCAAATGGCATCTGTACATTTCCCTCAACTACACTTGGCTACTCTGTGGTCAGAATTCCTGAAGATGCTTTCTTGGGAATAGGCCATATTTGTATTCTCATTATGGGACTGGACCTAGCTTCTAGTGGAGGCTCATGCAGGGAATATCATTAAAAAGAGATGATGTAATTTGCCTTTGAAAAGACTCCCGGCATGAGCCTCAGTTGTAGGCTAGTTCTAGTCCAATGCCGAGAATACGAATATGGTCTACTCTTGAACTGGAAGCAAGCCCAGTAGAAGTCAACAACTGCAGAAAAGATAAGAAAAGGAGAAAAAGGAAAGGCCAACAAAAATTTTAAAAAATGCAAGACATACATGTAGTCACTTTCTCATCAAAATTTGGATTTGTACACATACCCAGGCAAAAACGTCTTAAAATGTGATGCCAGTGGAAAGAAAGGCATTCTTTCGTGTTGCAAATGCCTTTTTGAGTAGACTGGAGCTCATTGAGCTCATGCTATGCTGATGGGTGAAATACTTTGATTAGATATTCTTTTCAGAGTTTAAAATGAGCATTTAAGAGTGTAAACTTATGTAATTGGAAGCGCAATCGGTTTTTTTCTCCTTGCAGACCTTTCTGGCCACCATATTGGTGTACAAAAGTGGTGCACCAGTATGACAGACCCATACTTAGCACTGTAATTAAATCCAAACGTTGTTTACCAATTGGAAAAGTCCAAGCTGACTACAGGGATCCTGTGCGACTAGTGTTGGTGGCTAGTTCAGTTCAGTTTTCAAAGAATATTGTCAGATGATTTTCACTTCTCTTCTGCTTTTAATCCTGCCATTCTAGGCTTAAAAACAGCATCAGAATAATGCTACTGCTCTGGCTGTTGTAGTCACATGCAAAGTCTGCAGTGCAGGACTTGACAGATTCTAAAGCTGTTCAACATTTTTAAAACAGATCCTCGAATAGAAAATTTAGGGTACGTTTAAAAGTGATCCCAGTATCTTTTCTTTTTTCATCAGCTGAGGAAAGAAAAAGTGGATCTTGAAAACACATTGGAACAAGAACAAGAATTGTTAGTCAACAGACTTTGGAAAAGGATGGACAGACTGGAGGCAGAGAAGAGGTAAGAAGAACACTTACAACATCCAACATAAATTGCAACCAGGCTCTAGAATTGTCAAGGAGTAATTTTTCCCAGCCGACCACTACTCCCAGGGGGTCATGGCAAAGACTGAATGTGAAGTGACTTTTTCCCACGGGTGTTGAGAGTTGTTTCCAGTTTTCAGGAGTCTCCAGTTATCCAAGGTTTGAAATGATATTGTACGAGTGAGAGTGCAAATCCAAGGAGAACAAATTGAATTATCGAGAGTATGGAGAAATGAAAGTTTCCTAATATCGGGATTCCACTCCACTATATGATGTGCAATTATTGATTTTTGTACTAGGGGAAGCACAAATATATTTCAATGATTTTTGTGGCAGCTTTATCTGTAAAACCTCAATAGAAATGATAAAATTAGAGTTGTCTGACGTTTGGAAGTTGCTGGCGTCATTATCAAGGTAAAAATGACAGTTTTATCGGGGTGTTAATATATTTAAATTAGTGGAACTAGTATGATAGGCATTTGCTTGTGATCTCAGTTTCGCGCGGATAGAGTCAGTTTGCACATTCAAAGTTGTCTTGAGATCTTGAATAATTAACAATTCGTGGATAAGACAATCGAATTTGTTGGGGCATTTTTTTTTTCATTTTTACCTTGATAATGATGTCGGCAACATCGAAGCACGGGACAACTCTAATTTATTTTTTATCCCTAAAGAAAGTGGCAATAAGATTATTGTAACTAGATTTATGGCTTTTTTGAGTAGTTTGGTAACACACTCGGTTTATTTCTAGAATGCTCCAAGAGAAGTTAGAAGAACCTATTTCTGAGCCGCCCTCCCCCCGACAGTTTGCAGATGGAGAGGATGCGGTGGGCGACTTAGCGTCCCACATCACATCACTGAGAGAAGAAATCAGGAAACTTAAACAACAACTGGCTAAGTCTGAAGCTGACTGTAAGTGTCGCTCCACGCACTCCTCACTACTGTTAGTGTGAAATGTTTTACTATAAAAAGATTATTTATACTTCCCATGTAAGTCGTTAAAGGTATAGAAATTTGTGCTGTAGTCGCTTAATTTGACTACTGGACAACGTGACATATCCGATTATGTATAAACCGCACCCTAGTAGATAAGATAAGATAAGATAAGAACTTTATTAACGTGTCGAAGTCGCTAGCATACTATGTACACTAATTGGGGACACCTAACTACAATTGCTTATCTTATCGGGCCAGGGCCCCGTTTCTCGAAAGCCCCGGAAACTTTTCGGGCCCGTAAAACCATTTTCAGTTCATCTGTGTCTACAAACGGAGTAGTGTATACGCCTGAAACTTCCTGTATGAAGAGAACCTCTGTTCATATTAAGAATACGTGAATAAAACAGTGCTGTAATCGTAAGGTTCGAGATTTTGCTATGGCTTTCCGGGCCTGAAAAGTTTCCGGGGCTTTCGAGAAACGGGCCCCAGGGATCTGTTTCTCGAAAGGCCCGGAAACTTTTCGGGCCTGCAAAGCCATTTTTGGTTGATCTTTCTCTAAAACCAGAGAGCTGTGTACGCCTGAAACCTCTTGAATGAAGAGAACCTCTGTTCATCTTAAAAATATGTGAATAACACAGCTCTGTAATCATAATGTTCGAGATTTTGCTACGGCTTTCCGGGTGCCAAAACTTTTCGGGACCTTCGAGAAACGGGCCCCAAGTCAGTGACTTGATATCGCAAGATATGAGGACAGTAGACACGTCTTCTGATTGGCTAATTGTGAATTTGAGTACAGTAAAAACAGATATCGTCTTTTCCAGGATATGAAACCACACCTGTGAAACAAAATAGTATTAATATCGATCTTAATATGCGATTGACAACTACCGAGCGTTTGTATATTTGCTGGAGCACTTTCCTTTGCTGTGACATTGAGAAGCGGTAGATTGTCGAAAGTCGCATGTTTCTTCCACTTTCTGTTTAGACTGTGAAAAGATGGCAGCTTATGCGAAAGAGGAACGCCATATCAAGGAAGAAAACATTAGATTACAGAGGAAACTGTTGCGAGAAATGGAGAGAAGAGAAGCGCTAAGCCGACAGCTGTCAGAGAGTGAGTCAAGTCTGGAGATGGATGATGAGAGGTAAGTCCGTCACAGCGATTCATCATCATCATCATCATCATCATCATCAACTTTGTTTACCCTCGAATTTCCTGATTAGAATTGCTGCTAATTTCTTCGAACTACCTGATATCACAAATTAAAAATAATAACAGAAAAATCAAAACAAAGCAGTCAAATTAATGCAATATTAAAGAAACAAGTTAATTTGTTGAAGGTGTTGAATTCTTTAACAGACATTGATTTGGAAGTGCCATCCAGGATTTGGTCGATTTGCAACTAAAACAATTAAAGTAATAAGTAGCTTGAAATTCACTGTTCGGCAGAAATCCTCATGAAAAAATTTAAGGAACCTAGTCAGCCTGGAGAGAAAAAGTAACCTCAAATAATCAACGCTTTGCCTTTTTGTGCTCTCATCACTGGGTAGCCTGTTTACTGGCTGAAGCCACCTGGGCTCGATTTAACGTCTTCTTTCTTACAGGCACTTCAACGAGATGACCTCTCACGGGACTTCAGTGAGGGACCGCACGTCATCAAGTCCCCTTCCGTTAAGTACCAACAGACCCATATCTCCGGGTAAGTCTAATATAAGTCTAGTATAATTCCGCGATTCTTTTGGTAACATTGCGTTTGTACAGTGTACGGTGACGGTGACGGTGACGAGCACGATTACGGTGACGGTGACGATAGCAATGATCGATTTCCGCAATCGATTATCGATGTTTGTTTACCTTTGTTTTTAGGGTATGGCTTCACTCCACCATCACCGCGCATGCCTAGGTATCCTTCCAATGAGAGGTTGAGTGGATCCCATTCCTCCGCAAACTCTTCACCTCCAACTCACACAGTACAGGTAGTGTTTTACTAACTTTTACTCACAAGCTTTTTGCTTTTTCGTGTTTGACTTGATCTTTTGTGTCTTTGTTGTACCGTTTCGTTAACGACAGCTAGACAGTCCACATTAGAGAGTTTAAGCATGACGTTTACGACAGATGGCAAACAGCAAAGATTACCTCTGATTTTTTATTCTTTTCTTCTAATCCTTAAATAAATCACGCAAAAATAGCAAAATGTCTCCTACTATTCACCGCAAATACAAAAATTTTCACTCTACTGTACAGACAGCTGAAGACAGAGAGCAAAAGTTTCATTTTGCCGTTTGCCGTTTGCCGTTTGACGTAACGTCATCTTAATCTCTCTATTGATTGAGAACCGAACCATGAGATAATAAACTTTTACAGGAACCCTTTTACAGTAAAGCTGGGTCGTCTCAGTTTCGTTTGTTTTCTCCAACGTTAATTAGGTCTTTTCTTGTGTTACTATAGGTAATCATACAGTTTCGAGTTCAATTTGGAATTAATTTGCGCGAGTGAGTTTTTTAAAAAGTTGAAATTGCACGAGCCGCTTCGGCGAGTGCAATTTCAGCTTTTTGAAAAACTCACAAGTGCCAATTAATTCCAAATTGGACAAGAAAAACCGTATGATTACTTATTAATAATATAAACACGAAAAAATTCGCATGGAGGAAGTGCCGAAAGATCATTCTTGAAGCCATTTTTTCTCACTTGAGAAAATTTTTTTCAAATTTTCCGCACAAAATTTTCGTCATCAGTTTACCTGATATCATTGGCTTAGAAAATTTCCTATTTCCTTTCAGACAATCATAATCCACAATTACGATGTGTAATTTGCACTGGTGTTACACTTTTTGCACTTGTGCTACACTTGAACTGCATTGCTCTCAGCCAATCAGAATCGAATAATTTTTTCATGTATATTATTAGGTTGGTAATAGACTACGAGTAGTCCCTTTTTGGCTTAGTCCGTCGTGCGTGACGCGAAAGAAAACCGCGAGAAAAAAATGGCTGCGCGAAATCCTGGAGGCGAGGAGCGCACGAAAGAGGGACTACTCGTAGTCTAGTAGGTTGGTCAGAATGATAATATTTTTAAAATTCACTGTGTCAGAAATGAAATGATTACCCAAACAAACGTGTTTTTGTACGAAATAGTGGTAGAGGAGGAAACTCTATCATTGGGTGACAACAAAGGAATAGTGGGACTTGAGGTAATCTCTGTGACGTTTGGAGGATTTTTTACTTAGTTAATTTATAATAGACATTTTATTGCTTCTCTCCGTGACAGAGAGGTCAGCGGACTCAGTCTTCCCCAGGCACATCATCACACGGACCCAGGCCCTCCTCAGGATCATGAGTATGAACAATGATATAGGCTCTTGCTGAGCAAATTGGCATGTATCAGTGTACCCCCGTGTAAGACAGTACATTGGCGCTTCGCTGTACTTGATGTGAACAATATCTGCCCAAAAAACTATTAGGGTACCGATTTTTATGAAAGGTCTTTAAATGGTGTAAAATTCCAATGAATCACTGATGGAGATATAGAGTAACAAGAATTGTTGGTGTATATTTGTTTGAATGTAGGTGTTACGCGAGGTAGTTAAGTTGTTTTACAGCAATAAGTGATGACAAAGTTGTGATATTTTTCAGTTGGAGTGGTTTTCCAATGTCCAGTCAAAGTGCTTGTAAAACTGATCACATTGAAGTAAACTGGCCGATCTTCTATTTTATGAGCTTTTATTTGTGGCTTTTACGACCAATTTTGTCATATATCTATCTAACAGCCTTTAGCTACTGCTTTTTTAGAGATAATTTGTTATAATCAATTTTGAACTCCAGGAAGGGAAGAACGTATCCAGTTAGTTGAAAACATCTTTTTCAAACTCATTCAAGTTAAAACAAAGAGCAAAGAAAATCACAATCGTGAATGAGGTTTGGATACCCGGTCTTAATTGGCATAGATTTTGACTATTTTACTTCTCCGTTTACTCCCTAGTTTTGTTTCGATTGAGAAGATATATCAAACCCTCGAGACAGTGTTTCTTCGGCTATCCAAACAGCTCGAATTTCGTCAAAATACTCCCCTTCGCGTCGTATTTTCAACTCTCTTCTCGGTGTTTGGATATCCCGATGAAACACTGTCTCCCGTGGTTGATGAATTACCTCAGCAGTCCTTGCTTGATTTTTCACTCGGTGGTTTTCTTGGAGACATCATTGGCTTCTTTGCCCAGTTATTGTATTCTTAGTACTTTCTGGAGTGCCTTTCATTGTAATGATTTGTACTACTTCCGTCACGCTTAGAACAAGTTACTGTTTCGGATGATTTATTCAGATTACAAATATGTTTTTATTTTGTTTCTCTTCTTTTCTAATTCATGCCGTCAAAGTCAGTTTGATAGGAATATTTTTTTTATGTTGGACCGTACTGTATTGACAGTTTTTTTTTTACTTTATATTAACGGCGTATGTTCAATTATCTTTAATTCACTCGTGTTTCACCATTGTAGTACCATTTATTTGGTAAGAGATCGAGGGAAGTTTTGTTTTTTTTGGCGCCATTGGTGCTGGTGAGTATTGGANTGTGGGCTACACGAATGTTGTAGGGCTGTAGGATCCGTGAGATGGTCTCAGAAGTGCCCTTAATGTAAGGAATAGTCACTGTAGCAGCACCGGCGGTAAAACTGTTGTCATGGCAACAGCACTAAGGGTGTCATTTCGTTTCTTTTGTGATGTGCATCTGTGGTGCCAAGTTTCAAGAACACTGCTTCAATATTTCTAGAGATATTGTTTATTCAGTATTTTACCATTTTTAGTTGCAAACAGTATGACGTCATCACTGGTCTAATTTGCGTAATAGAAAAACGTCAATATCTCTAAAAAAAAAAGATATTTCAAAAAGAAAAACGCCATTCTTGTGTATTTTGAAAGGCCTTGCAAATAAGCAAAAATTATTTTTCATGTCATATGCACTTTAAGAGTTCACCCTTTAATCACTGTATTTTTCATTTGTCTGTGTTTTAACATGATCTTTTTTAGGGTCAAAAAGGGGGATTACTCAAAATTTCCGACAAGCACCCTCGCCCCTTTCATATACTTGTCGCCCCCTCGGGTAGGAGCCCGTCTCCCAGAGGCTCCATACGTCCTACAGGCATAACGTAGAGACAACCCTTTCCCGTATCGTTCTATTCTTAGAACTGTAATCAGCGTAAGGGTCTCTTGGTTTCCCACGAAATATCTTGTTTATACAGATTTAGAAAACAGTCCTAAGAAAATACGCGCGTTGATTGGTTGAAAATCGTGTTTCTATTTAACAATTAGATTATTCGCTCTTGATTTCTATGAGGCGATAGTTGATGAGGCCGAAGGTCGAAGGCCGAATCAGCTATCACTTCATAGAAATCGAGAGCGAATAATCTAATTGCTTTAGTAGAATTCTTACGAAAATTTACTTCAAATAACGGTTTCCAATTATTTCTTGACGTATTATTAAGCTTTGCGCCTGAAAAAGGTCGCTCGGATTGAATTGTCATTTAAGAGAGCTTGACTACAAGATTCGCATTAACTGCGGTGGATGTCAAAAAATCGAATTTCTTCAAATTACCTGAAACTTATTTTATGTTAAAAGGGACCCAGGCGTTGTAGATTGATGTCATTTATTCTTAGTACTTTTAAAAAAATTGCCTCAGAAAAGGAATTAAAAGACAGCGAGGTAATACTGGCGAAAATTATGATAAATTGGGTCTAATTTATGAGCAGATTTGTTGTATCAATGACAGACCAATATTACTTCCCGGTGCAAATAACTTTATTTACTATCAGTGACATGCTTTAACTTTACAAATATAGCTACAAAACCAATGAACAAGTTGTCAATTTTTATATGCAGTAGTTCAAATAGCTCCTAGTAAGTTTCACTTTACTGAAAATGGAAAAAGTCACTCGACTGTTTAAGTGTTTAGGCAGCGTCCAACCCACTTCTAGAGATAAAAATTATACTGCCTTGTCGCTAGTACTTTGCCATTGGTGGCCAATGTGTTAAAAGTTTGGGTTTCTGTTTTTCAATGATTGTTAACGTGACTAGAAAATGACACTCACACACCCCCCGCGAAGACACGAAAAATATACATTTTTTACTTAAATTGTGGTTTCTACTGCTTTTGGTGAAATAGATGTTTCTATAACAAGCAGCGTAGAAGGACTGAAGCTGAAAACTTGAAATTCTCAAAAAAAATCAAAACAACTTGAGATTATCTGACTTACAATTTTCCTTAAGTGCCTTAATTCATTTTATGAAATAGAGACTCCTTGTCTGGCTTTACATACTTTTCAGTTCAACTTTAATATTAGCTATTGACAATGCTGTTAATAGCTGTTATTTGTTAATAACACACAACATAAACTCGCGTGACCGATTTTTCTGAACCACGTAGACACAAAAGGCTATTCAACTTTTTGAGATAATAAATTCGTTATTTATTTTAATTTAAAAATGTCTTGGCTTCTTTTCGCCCAGAAACAACAACTTCTCTGGCTTCATTTAAAGCGAAAAGNTCATTTTATGAAATAGAGACTCCTTGTCTGGCTTTACATACTTTTCAGTTCAACTTTAATATTAGCTATTGACAATGCTGTTAATAGCTGTTATTTGTTAATAACACACAACATAAACTCGTATGACCGATTTTCTAAACCACATAAATACAAAAGGCTATTCAATTTTTTGAGATAATAAATTCGTTATTTATCTTAATTTAAAAATGTCTTGGCTTCTTTTCTCCCAGAAACAACAACTTCTCTGGCTTCATTTAAAGTGAAAAGGTTCCATCACCTCAGCTTGTCGCAATTAAGACTTGTGTGTTACATGGGACATGAAGTCACTGGGCTGATTTTTTTAAGTCATGCAACCACAATCTTTATCCAAATGGTGGTTACATACACCACACTAAATTTCTGCAGTATCTAAGGCATGTAATGTAATCAGGTACCTTTTTTTTTCGCTTTTCTCAAAACTTTTCTGAGCTTCAGTTACATAAACCAGCATTTCTATGTAATGAAAGTCTATCTTAGTAAATCTAACTGAAACAGTTACATATCGCAGCTGCAACTTCCAATGAGCTCTTTTATTTGATTAATAAAACCCTCCTTTCTGTTTCTGGAAACAGTGGCGATGTCTACTTCAAAATGTTCACAAATCCTTACAAGCATGCCTATGTTGAACTTTTTCAACTTGTTTTGCTGACTTAGTTCACACAGGTTAAAGCATTCATAACATATAGGGTGCTTCTCTGCAACCTTAGCGATGATACCTTCATGCAGCTCTTGCAACTCTGTCTCATACTTGCTCTGCTTGACTTTCTACATCTCATACTTCGTCCTCAATTAGATCTGCTGGGCTTTGCACGGTCTTTCTCTGTGCTGCGGCAAGCCTGGAGAAAAATGAACAGATCTGCTGTGTTTAAAGGCATTCACTTTCGGCAAATAAGTGCCTGCCAAGCTCATTTCTTGCACATCTCATGTCGAAGGAGACTTGCACAGGATCAGCTTTATGTCCTGTAGCATTAACAACGTCAAATTTCTCTTGGAGGTAATTTCTGACCTTGTCAGACAAACGTGTTGCCCACTTAGGTACCTTTAAAGCCCAGCCTTTCTGAAGAACTTGATGTGTGGTCACACTGAGGTCTTCTATGAGACGGAGTGCAGAGATTTTGTTTTCCAGTTGGGATGAAAGATTCTCTGACGTTACTTGTTGAAACTATTTGGCCCATCTCTTGATTACTTTATCACCAAGAGGTTCAGAAACGTCTTCAAAGGTGTGTTTCTCTGCAGCGATGTGCTTTTCAAGCTTGCCCATTGTAATGTACTGCTTGACGCACCCTGGTTCAGGGCAGCTGAACAGACCACAATCTCTCTCCTCGTCTCCAGATTCTTCGGGTGACCTTACAGGTTTCACCGGACCAGGCAGTTCTGCTGCCAAGCAAGTATTATCTTTCTTAACAGATTCACTATTCCCCAGTGATCCACTCTCAATGATTCTAAGTTCAGAAGGTAGTATCTTGCCATCCTTATCAAGATTCTGCCATGCAACCAGTTTCCCGGTGCCAATATTGTATGCTTTCCATACCCTCAGGCCGTCGTTACAATACTGGTAGTTATGAAGACTTACATCTGGAATACGCGGTGTGGGGCACTTACTGGCTGACTCTGGATACTCTACCACATATGGAACAATACTTTGTATACCGCCATGTGACTCCAAAGCTTTTTTGACTTGCTCTGCTGACATAACATCATTTCCTTCATGAAGAAACCGGTTAACATGGGATTTCTAGTGGGCGGAGCTCCTGTCACACAGTCCCTTGCCTGCTTGTGGCTCTGGGAAATCATAGCGTTTGATGTAGATACCAGTCAACCTACTGATATGCTGTATGGGAACAAGTAGTCCGCCTGAATGATACGATCCTGCACAGTCACTTCGATAAAATGCTTCATTAATCTCTGGGTGTCTTGCCTTTTCTTCCTGGAGGGTGTGACAAATAACTGCAGCAACAACTTCACTGTTCTGGTTGATCGACTGACGAAAGAAGTGCGAGTACACAGAGACTTCACATTCATTTGAGCTGGTGCAACGTACACAGTGCAAGATGTACCAACTTATTCCATGTTTACCGAACCATTCCATCTGTGTTTCTTTGAAAAGGCGTGGCAAGAATTTCATTGCAAGATCTTGCGTGATAAAAATCTTCCTTGAATTGACGTCATCCAAGACTTTTTGTCTTGCTCTGTCCTGGTGTACCGCCCTTAGCAGATGAC